ATTTCAAGGAAAGATTGTGATATTGAGAAGAAGATGGAAAAAGCAAAGACAAGGTTGGATAGTTTGGAAGTCACCATTGAAGATCTAGAGAGTGGTTTGGAGTGCATGTTTAGGCACTTAATCCAGATGAGAGTCACCCTCCTTAACATATTGGCTTACTAAACATTTCTTCCTGCAATTTTCCCAAAATCTGACCCAAGGTTGGCATCTACATTTTAAAGGATTTTGCCAACGGGTTATATCATATGTTTTAAAAGCTACTGCTTTGTAGCTTATTTATACACATCATCAATGAAAGTCTATAGTACATCATTACAAGATAATGCAATACAATTGTTTGACAATAATTGGTTCTTTTATTCTTTTGATTTATTTTTTCAGTGCACTAATATAGATTTTAATTCAAAGAGCTGCTGAAATTTTTCGATGAGTTTCAGTCTTTTTTTTTTTTTTTTTTTTTTACATGCTTTCAGGATATAAATTGAATTACCTAAAAAAACATCAAATTTCCCCCAGAATTTGTCAACTTGCTATGGAATGTATTTCCTTTCTTTTCCAGTTGCTATTTATTTATTTTTTGATATGGAGCTTATATTTTCTGGTAAACCAAAATTAAATAATTGAGGAATTGAAACTATAACAATAATATGAACTTTGAATTCAACCAATCCAATTCCATGAGAATTTGCCATCTTTATGTGATGAGGCAAATTGAGGCCTTTTCATTCGGTAGCATGCTTCTCTAGAATGTATTTGTTGAACATTAATTTGTAATTTATGAGAAACAACTATATATGAACGTGGGAGAGTTAAACAAGAAAGTTTCTTCAATTACTGAAAATTTTCGGAAGCCAAAGGTTGTGCCTTTCCATTGTTATCTTATGATATATATATATAAACTCGATGGAGTTTTTTGCTCCCCAAAACTTTCTAAAAACCTTACGTCCTAAATGCAATGCAACTTCTATCTCCAAAAGACTTCCTAATCCAAAAAGAATATCTTCCTAAAAACAAGGCTGCTGAAAACAAAATTTCTAAAACACAAAGCTTCCTAACTGTACAAAAAATATACAGATCTGGGATCTCCTAGGACTCTCGCGAATCTTGTCCAATACTCCCCCTCAAGGTGGTGCATGAGGATTGCGAATGCCCAACTTGGGAAGGAAAAAATAAACTGTTTTTGTCCAAGAGCCTTTGTGAAAATGTCGGCAAGTTGTTCACCGGTACGTACAAAGGAAGGCGCAATGGTGTCGGCTTGGAGCTCATTGTGAATGAGATGACAATCAACTTCAATATGTTTGGTTCGCTTATGGAATATAGGGTTCGCAGCAATGTGCAGAGCAGCTTGATTGTCACAAAACAAGCGTATAGGTTGAAGATGAGATATACCCAAAGACGACAACAGACTTTTTAGCCACTTCAACTCACAACTGATAGTAGCAATTGACCAGTATTTATCCTCGACAGAGGAATAGGAGACAGTATGTTGTTTCTTATTCTTCCAGGAGATGGGGGAATTTCCTAACATGACAAAATACCCAGTAACAGAGCGACGAGTTAGAGGACAACTCGCCCAGTCATAATCACAATAGGCATAACAATTGCAGATCACTATCAGAGCGCAGAAATATCCCTTGACCAGGATGTCCTTTTAGACAACGAACCACACGTAATGTTGCATCCCAATGATCAACACAAGGACACTGCATAAATTGAGCCAAGACATAAATGCAATAACTGAGCTCCGGCCATGTAATAGTTAAATAAATCAAACGGCCCACAAAACGTCGATATTGTTTAGTGTCATCCAGGAATTCTTCGTCAGCAAGGGCAAGTTTATGATTCTAAGCAATAGGACAGTGAGCAGGTTTGGACCCCAATAAGTCAGTTTCTGTAATAATATCAAGCGCATATTTTCTTTGGCAAAGAAATATACCCAATGATCCGCAAGTCACTTCGATGCCCAAAAAATATTTAAGAACACCCAAGTCCTTCATGTGAAAACACCGATTCATATACTGTTTAAATTTGTGTATGAACTCCGGGTTATTCCCACCAACGATTAAGTCATCAACATAAACCAGGATGTGCAAGACAAGCCCATTCTTGCGATATGTAAATAAGGAATAATCGAAATAGGACTGATCAAACCCAAAAGTTTTCAAGGCAGCACCTAATTTAGAGAACCAATTCCGGGGGGCTTGCCGTAGACCATACAAAGATTTCCGGAGTTTGCATACCTTTCCGGTCCCGGAGGAGGTTTCATATAGACCTCCTCATCATTACCCGTGTTTTGATGTCCTTTATCGATCGTGTTGCTCCCCCTGACTTCTTTATGAGGTGAATCAGATACCATGTTAGGAGGAGTGGTCGCAGAGTTCGGTGGTTGGATAGTCCCGGATACAAAGATTTTTGGAGTTTGCATACCTTTCCAGTCTCGGAGGAGGTTTCATATAGGCCTCCTCATCATTACCCGTGTTCTGATGTCATTCATCGATCGTGTTGCTCCCCTTGACTTCTTTATGAGGTGAATCAGATACCATGTTAGGAGGAGTGGTCGCAGAGTTCAGTGGTTGGATAGTCAAAGGCAACCCAACATTTTCCTTGGCTATGGGAGGACTGGTTACTGAGGGTTGATGTTCCGGAGTGGCAAAGGGAAACTCGGCCTCACTAAACACCATATCTCATGAGACGAAATAATCATCAAATTCAAGATTGTATAATTTCCACCCCTTTTTCCCAAAAGGGTACCCAACAAAGACACATTTCCTACTCCTAAGCGGCAAATTTGTCACAGTCCCAAATATGCGAAAAACACAAGCAACCAAAAACTCTGAGATGTTTATAAGGACTTTGTCAAAATAGCATCTCGTAAGGTGTTTTACCACCAAAAAGGGTCGAAGGTACCCAGTTAATCAAGTACCCTGCGGTCAAAACACACTCACCCCAGAAATTGATCGGAAGATGAGCTTGAAACCGGAGTGCTCTGGCCACATTCAAAATATGACGATGCTTTCTCTCCACGCGACCATTTTGTTGTGGTGTTCCAACACAGGAAGTTTGAAATAAAATTCCTTGCTCGTCAAAATATGATTTCAAGGATTTAAACTCTTTTCCATTATCACTTCTCACCACCTTAACCTTCTTATTAAATTGTCGTTCAACCATTGTACAAAAATTTTTGAGTGTTCGACCAACTTCACTTTTTTCAGCCAGCAAATAAATCCAAACCGCTCAATAATAATCATCAACAATTGTTAAAAAATATACAACACCACAAGATGCAGGTACTCTATAAGCACCCCATAAGTCACAATGAATCAATGCAAAACAATCAGTCACTTTATTGCCGCTTTGAATGAAAACATCTCTAGTTTTCTTTTCCTTCAAACAAACATCACAGGTTTTGTTCTTACTATTACTGATATTAAGAAGCAAGCTAACCGTTTGATAAGAAGGGTGCCCCAATCTCCGATGCCACAAATCGCATGACCCAATTCCATCTGTCTTGTAAGCACAAACCGGCGCCACACCCTTGAAGACATAGACCCCATCAAGCTGTTCACCCGCACCAATCAGAGTCCTCAAGATGCGGTTCTGTATCACACACAACTTATTAGTAAACGTCACAATACAATCTGTGTCACGAAATAACCGACCTACTGACAATAAATTACAATTGAGTTTTCGGACAAATAATACGTGCAGCAATTTAAAATTATTTACAAGTTCAACAGTGTCTTCTTTCACGGCCTCGGTGTGCGTACCGTTGGGTAACCTAACAGGACAAGGTGCAACATCATAGGTGTCGACGAGCACATTTAAATTCCCTATCATGTGGTGTGACGCCCCAGGTCAATAATCCATTCAATGGAGTAATTCTTACCAGAGAGTTTTTCATTAGACCTGGTTTTGTAAGCATTAAGCATGCTTACAAGAGTCTGCCATTGCTCGTCATTAAGCCCGCTCAATCCGGTCCTGTCTCCGTCAATTACAGCTGCATTAGCAGCCACCTCACGCCACGCTGATGACTGAGCAGCATGAGCTTTTGTCGTGCCTCGGCCACATCCTCCTGAGGGTCCACTCCCTTTTCCTCGTCCTGCTCCACACCCGGTCGATGTATCGCGGGGTCTGTCTCCCCACCATTCATGGTATCCAATTAATTGGAAGCAATTCTTTGCTTCATGGCCAAATCGACCACAATTGTTTTGTCTTTTAAAGCAGCTTTACTGTCTCGCGATGTCTGCGAGGCTTGTGCTGCAAAACCAACTGCATCTGCCCGTTCCTCCTTACCTCGTGCCAAGGATCGATGTCGATCTTCTTGTATGATCATTGAGTAAACTTTGTTCATATTTGGAATTGGCTCCATACTCAATATGTTGGAACGCACAGTTCCAAATATATCGTCATCCAAACCCATCAGAAATTGGTGGATTTTCTCTTCTTCTCTTTCTTTAACCAATTCGGCTACCGCTCCACACCTGCACCCGTATGTACACACGGGTACCTTAGAGTAGCTTCCTAATTCGTCCCACATTGCCTTCAATTTTCCATAATATGCAACCACTGTCTGTCCATGTTGTTTGCAGTTAGCAAGCTCGGATTTAATCTGATAAATCTGGGGTCCGTTGCCGATCGAGAATCGTTCCTTCAAATCACCCCAAAGCTCCTTGACCATCTCCATATACGTGATAGTTGAACGCAGTGATGGATCGACAGTATTGAAAACCCAAGCCACCAACATCGAGTTCACAATCCACCATAGATCGATCTCTGGAGTATCGTTCTCCGGCTTTGTGACTTTGCCTTCGATGAAACCGATTTTGTTTTTGGAACGAAAAGCAGTTCTCATCGCCTTTGCCCATTCATCATAGTTATCTCCTCTCAATACCACCAGACTGATAATAATTCTAGGATTATCTGATGGATGCAAATAGAAAGGAGATGACTGTCCAACAGACTTACTCGAGCTCTCACCGTTCCTGTCGTTGTTGACAGCCATGGTGACCGATCAGCAAGACTCGTCTGAGATGTTCAAGCAAATGGTCAAAGATGGCTTTGGTGTCGGTGTGATTCCGTTGCTCAACGTCAGCAGTAATATCTTACCCAAGGTGATTGATTATTGCAGGAAACACGTCGAGTTTGATTCCAAGAAGAAGATGGACGATCCTAATGAGTCTCACGAAGAAATCAAGAATTGGGACTCTGAGTACATCAACGTCGGTGTTGATGAGCTTTAACATCTTATAATGGCTGCCAACTACCTTCATATCAAAGGGTTGCTGGATTTGACTTGCCAGAAGGTAGCTCTGATACCAAGAAAAATTTCGGAAGCCAAAGGTTGTGCCTTTCCATTGTTATCTTATGATATATATATATACAAACTCGATGGAGTTTCTTGCTCCCAAAACTTTCTAAAAACCCTACATCCTAAATGCAATGCAACTTCTATCTCCAAAAGACTTCCTAATCCAAAAAGAATATCTTCCTGAAAACAAGGCTGCTAAAAACAAAACTTCTAAAACACAAAGCTTCCTAACGTACAAGAAATATACAGATCTGGGATCTCCTGCTCCAAGTTTGGTTCGATCCTCAATTACTCTCCAAGTTTGGTTTCAATTTTTCTATGGTGAGTACTTTGATAATAGGATTCTTCAAAAGGCTCAGCTTATGTTAGGAAATTTGTGAGAGATAGTTGAATCTGGCTATCATGAACCTCCAGTTGTAGCAAATGTTGAAGCATGGACAATATAACATTAAAATGAGTATAAGGAGAACAAAAGAAAAGATGCAAAAGCTCTTCTCAATCAACAACATAAAGTCAGTGTTATGGTTGTGTCTTGAATTCTTTGTGGCGATCCACTTCATAAATCTGCTCCAAAATATGTTAAGAAAATTTTAAAGACAAAATTTCATAGTGGTTTGTGGTGGAAGTGTAGGCAGTGATACGGACCTGATCCATATCAGCTTATGGGTCTGAACCAAGTACGCGTAGGCTATAAGTTGAATCATGTAAATTTCTATTTTTTTCTTTCATTTTTGGGTGTTATTCGATTCTGCATTTCTAGGTTTTGCGCAACAAACTAGTATCAAGTCCCTGATCAAAGGTTAAGGGTTCATTATTTTTCCTATTTCTTCTTTTGCATTTCAAAATAAATTAATAAGAAACAAGCTCCTACCGGGAGTCGAACCCAGGTCACTGGATTCAAAGTCCAGAGTGCTAACCACTACACCATAGAACCACTTGTGAATGGAGAGTTCAAAAGGCATTTCAATCCTCAGAAAAATTGTAGAAAACATTGTGTATTAAGGGTAGAACCTAGGTTTATTGGAGGAAATTAGAACCCACATATGGGAATAGGGCCTAGACCTGTTCACATGTGTCTTGTTTGATACCAGAGGCACGCACCATCAGATGGGTGCTAGACTCCTAACTGTAAGATCAGCTAGACAAAAATCTGCATTCAAAAAGGTTATAACTTAAAACTATTATCATATTCGATTTGGCCAATGAAGAAAATTTTTTTCAAAGACTAAAGACAAATCAAATTGTTAAAATATCATTTTATTATTGTAATTTCTTATGGTGATATAGTTTAAGCTCACCCCATGGTGGGGTCTGATTCTTAAAACATATTGTTTATCTCTTTGCGGGTCTCATTATATGTTGCTAATGGGAAGAAGCGAAAGAAATCTTAGATGGTTCAAAATTATAGATTGTTTGTTGTGTATCTGGGAGCAACAGTTAGGACCAGATCAAGTTAGGAAGTATGACCTTGGTTAGCTGAGAAAGCATGGATTGGAGAGAAGTGCCAGAAATCAACCAGCTAAACAATGTCATACCGTGTGCTCTTTAACATTCATGTTTAGGAGAGAGAGAGAATGCATGGATTTGTCAAAGTGGGATGAATCCAACAATCCTGCAAAATTTTTTCATCAATCAAACACTGAGAAATAAATTCCGCAGGATAACTGGTTTCAGCAACCAAACACAAGTGACAATATTGAGAAAAAAACAATTCCCTTCTCATTTGTTTGCAATGTAATTTCACTTACACTAGTGTAAATGCAGGAGGTGCAAATGGATAAAGTATAAAATAGGAGGTACAATGATGTAATCCCCACACTATAGGAAATAGATCAGTAGAGGTAGGAGTAAGTTTGTATTTGGAAGGAGTGTCGTAGGACTAAATGATGTAGTCCCCACTTTATATGAGGGGAAACAAAGATAGGATAAAGGTCGAACAAATTTGACATTGGTTTTTTAGAAGCAGAATTTGCACTACAAATGGGTGAAAATGGAACAAAAGAAAGGTGCATGTAAACCTTGAATCAGGTAAGAGTGCAAAGCATAGTTATGAATGGATGTGAAACAGGACAAGGTGCAAATTAATTTTGTATCTGGTTTAGATTTGAGAGAAATTTTCTTACCACACTAATAGCATGAGCGAGGTCAGGTCTTACACATACCATAACATACCTCTCCTAAGATAGCTAGAGCTTCTTATTTTTCTTGTCACAATGGATTCCATACCGAGAATCTATTTTTCCAGTCCTAAATCCTCTATAGAATGATCTAGCTCAACTCTTTTGATAACTTTTCAATCATCTTGGCCTCATTACCAACAATCAATATTTCCTCTACATAAAGTAAAAGAATGATAAAAGTTATATAAAAAAATATATTTTACAAAAATATAGTGGTCTAAGGTAGTTTTGTTGGACCCATGTTCTACCATAAATTATTCAAACTTATTGGACCCAAAGCTTTGGACTTGCTATCAAGCTTGGACCTAACATCTTTGGGAACGTCATCTAGATTTTCCTCTCCAAACTCCTTCAAGAACCTCACAATTTAAAGCAGTTGAGGGAAAGAGATTGATCAAACCCACAATAGTCCTCATGGCTTTTCCTTAAAAAGGCTTAGGTAATTTTGAGTGAGAAAGCATGCACCTGATACTATCTATAATATTCTAAGCTTGCTCAACTCTTCTTCAATTCTGCTAACATTAGGATGGGATCGGGAGGGCAAGCTAATGAAAATCCTAGCTATAGAGAATAACCCTTTGCATTGGGCAAAGAATGGTGCTCTGAAAACCCTTCGATTGATCAATTTATATTGACAAATACAAGGTCAATGAGAGGAGAGACAAAGAGAATCTTAGGCGTTGGGAATTGATGAGGGCAGATTTGGCCCTCCAGTTAAATTAAGACACATGGCACCTTGTGACAACTAAGCAAACACCCAGGCAACAACTTACCAAGTTGGTGTCCCCCCCCGGGCACCGGTCTGGCTGGCCTGGCGCGACCAATA